ATTGTTTTCTTCTTTGCACTTTACTCTCCTCAACAAAATGTTGACACCTTGTCAAAACCACAGAACATTCAAAACCAAATGTTATCAGTGACACTGTGAATTTTTGGATAAGCTAATGGAAGAGCCAGTTTGGCTTCCCCAGGCAAAATCTTTGGCATCTGATCTGTGAGTCTTGGAGTCCACACTTTCTGCAGTGGAAAAGTGGAAATGATCAGGCTAAAACTTCTCTGGCAATATCATGTATCCAGCAGCAGGTTTATTTTGCTAACATTAATTAGTTAATTAGTAACTCTGTAAAAGAGACTGTGTTGTAATGCTGAAGATTTAGCATCAACCTTATTGACAAGTTATTACAGTTATCTATGTGAAAATATTTTTATCTTTGTCTTTTACATAACAAACCCCTGGAAATAGGGTGCTGTGTTTTAATATTTTTTTTAAAGGCTTCATTTGGATCTGCGTAAAAGAACATTTAGTTTACTAAGTCAAGTACTGAAACGTAAAGAAATGTGCCAGATTTATGATGTCTTGTGCAGCCTAATTCTGCCCTCTTATGCATATATATAATGATAATTATTACTTGAAGAGTGATTGTTTTGTGCCACAAGACTTGTATATCTAACATGCAAAACATTTACACTTTCTATTTTTTTCTTCAGATACTTGTTTTCTTAGACTATGAAACATTTAATTGGGTTAGTCTTGTATGTTATCTGCAAATGCAGAGCTTCGTGAAAGAGCCCTGCATCTTAATCCTTCTTCCTCTCACCACAGACAGGTGGAGATGAATCACAGGGATTTGTTCACTTGTTGTTTCCTGCCCTTGAGTGATGGGAAGGGCAATACAAGCTGGCTCAGTGTCTGTCTTGAGGGTGGCGTGGCAAGAAAAATCCTGAGGAAGTGAAGGTCTGGAAGTGGATATAACCACTGATGGTTGACACATGGCAAAAAAAGGAAGACTTAAGCTTGTTTGCCTGGACAAAACTAGTCCCAGGCTGTCTAGAGCAAAAGGAGAACAGAGCTTTGCATCAGTATCACTGGTTCTAAGTAACTCATAGGGATATGTTATGGCTAAGAAGACAGTTACTGCAGAAAAGCTCAACTAAAATTTTGAAGAGATGGATGCAGAATTTAATTATTTTATTAAAGAATTAAACAAGCTGGTTGTCAATAATCCCATTCCATTTCTACGTTATGATACCTCTGCAATACCCAAATATCCACCAAAGATTTCCATTCTGAGTATTTCATTGAGCATTGTCTAGGGTGGGCACGACTAAAGATTGAGTGAGTATTATTGTACATTGAGTTCACATAGCTCATCAATAGGGCTAATGGTCTGAATCTGTTCCTGGGTGTAAGCAGACCTTATTTTCTGGTGAAAGGAATGCTTGCCTCTGAAAGCTATTGGCATTCTGATGGCAGGGGTTTGTATAAAATCTCCCTTCTAAATTCCTTGGTCTGTTGACCTTTGTTTTGATTTCAGTCTGAGGACAGACTTCTAGCTGTCAGAGCGAGGAAAGGTAGAAAGGGTGGTTGAGAGAGTGACCATAAAGCACTCTCTTTTTTATGTATATGTAAAAGGTGGACTATAGTCAAATTGCTTTGTGATAAGATTATGCTTCATTTGGTCTCTTTTCTCCCTTCCTGTGATGTGCTTATATAAGCCTTGAGGATATTAAAATATATTTTGAACCTTCAGTTCGTAATGCAAGAGAAAAATTAGACTCTTTCTCTAAGAGTGGTGGCTTGGAACAATAAAGAGAGTCTGTATATAAATAAACCTCCAAAAGAAATTTCTTTGATAGACGACTCTTGACAATACATAAGACCTTTGTATGCACCATCTGAAGCAGGGAAGGAATTTCTGTCTCACAGATGAGTGCACTCAAAAGAACTGTAACAAAAGAGGGCACTACTTTTTTTGATGAGTAGAAAGTTCTTCTTTTGGCTTATAGAATTATATGATGCTGGCTTTCAGTAAGAATTACATGATGCTGGCTTTCAGTAAGAGCTATGTAATGGATTGCATTGGATCAGTATATTTTTCCAAGAATGCTCCTCAATAGTGAAAGATAGCACACTTCTGTTCTTGACAGAGTGCAAGCACATTTTGACCTAGTCCTGACCTAAACTGGATCATCTCCTCTAGTCCTGAAGAGTACTTCATATTCATTTGCTCCTTTCAGAGTAAAGACAGAAAAACAAAAAAACAAACCAACAAGCTCAACTTAGGACTTCTGAAGATTGAGTGTATAAGTAATGCCAAGACTGACAGCTTCACCATGCAGGGCACTAGCCTGGAACTCTTCAGGAGAGAATTGGGCGGTACATGTATTGGATATGTGTTTTCTATGGTGGTGCATACAATTTTTTTTCCATATTTGCTTTGCTTAGTCAAAATATTTTCAGACATATTTACAGAGGAGGAGGAGGAGAATGAGGACAGAAAATGAGAGAAAATATGATTGAAGAGAAACAGCAAATGACATTAAATGATGACAGGATGTGGAACAATTTCAGTGACCAGCGTTCACCTGCAAAGAATTCAAATACACTTTGATTACACAAAAGAGGAAATGCATTAAAACATGAAACATTAAATGGATTTGTCTCTATTTCTAATGATGAACCATGTTACTAGAACTTCCCTAAACCTACAAATCTATCATTTCAGGTAATATTACCAGGTGTACTTCTTAGCATAACTGAGTTAGGTTTGTTTGACCATGGCTGATGTCTACAACTTTCTTCCAGGAGTAGCCTTAATGACTAATTTGTGTGTGTGTATGTAGAAAAGACATGAAACAACTGAAAAAGAGTAAGATATGTTTCTACTTCTGGAGGAGATTACAACATCTGTTTAAAAGAACATAGCGGCTATTGGTGCTGTTTAGAAGGAGTTGAGAGTGACTTCTTGTCCAACTGAAACTACTGCTAGAAAGTAGCCAGGCAGAATGTAACTTTACAAGAAAGAATTTGACCAGTTTAAGAGTTATAATGATATTCTGTAGAGACCTGTGATTCTATTTTTAAGCAGGAAAGTAAAATTGCTTAATGCTTCTTCTCTTTGAATGCATCACTTCAAATTGATAGGGTGGTGGCTCTCTATAACATTTCTGACAGCAACCCTACTGAGCAGTTTTACCTAGAAGTTTTGATAAAAGAGTCAAATCTGTACAAAAATGAATTAAGGACAGAAAATTAAAATGGAAAAAGGAACAATAAGAATATCTTGCTTCTGATGACATCAGTTCTACCTCCTTTTAAAAGGGCTTCTTTGCTTGCTCTGTCTTCAACCTCAAAATGAGAATATTTAAACCCATTATTAAGCCAGTCTGCTGCTTCCCATGATTTTTCTCTGCTTCTCCAGTCTTCTTTCCTCCTGTTCCCAATTTTCCCTATCCCTCCTTTAAATACCTCAAGTGGAAGCATTACCTGATGACTGAACTAGTAATGTTACTCTCAAAGCTGCCTGTCTACCTCTTGGAAATTTTGACCAGGATGGAGAGGACCAGATGAATTTCCTTTGAAGCATACTTTTGGACCTTCAACTGTGGTGGCCCTTCAAAAGGAAAGCTGCTGTTTCACCTCCCATGTTTGCCCACAGCCTTCAACAGGCAGTCAGGGAACTTCCAGTTGAAAATTTAAATTAGAAAGTTGAATTGTGACCTTGGTGTGTCCAGTTCATCTTCAAGACTGCAGAGTTCAGAGAACAGAGAATAGTGTGGGAAGTGACTAATCTGCTTGCGCTTTCTGAGGACCCCTCCAAAGCTCAGCTGATCATTTGGCAGTAGTCAGTTGTGACAGCAGTGGTCCAGGGAACTATTCCTGTTTCCTTTTATGAATGAAAGTAGACCTATGCTTGTAAATGAATGCCAAAAATAGTATGTTTGGAAGGAACATGATTATGGAAGTGTAAAGACATATCCAAAAAATAAATTTAAAACTAAAATAGTAATGCTATGCAGTACTTATATACCTAATAAATAATATTAGTAGGCCGATGGTGGGTGGAGGTAGTTAATGTTGATGCCCAAAAACTGAAAAATGCAAAAGCCTGGCACTGGCCTGAATTATCCCAGAATGGATGGGATTGGGATCTTGAGTGTTTGCAGAGATCTCCATTATGATTCCAGTGCATTACCAGCACCCAGGCATTCACTATCTTCTGTTCTGAGTGGTCTGCATTAACGGCAAACTTATGAATGATGTCACTGGAATTGAACAACATACCTTGCAAACAGGACATGTGACGTAATCAGTGCCAATAACAATTTATTTTAAGCAGTATAACTATATAACAGGTGTGGGCAGAGAAAGGTTGACATGAATTAAAAATATCGCCAAACTCAGCGTTGTCTAACTTAAGTCTTAGCAAGGTGAACATTATAGACAGTAAGGAAGATAGCTGATATTAATTTTACAGATGATGTGTGGTATTATAAATCTCACCATCTGTAAGATGCAAGGAGTTAATTCTATTTCTATTCTAAGTCTGATATCTGATTAGTTTAAATATCTTTGAATTAGTGGAGTGATGCTCTGACTATCAGGTCTTCTGTCAAGAGATTTTAATGAGTATCAAGTCAGATGATTAAGGTAGAATGATTCTATAGCAAACATGGAAGCTTCAGATGTCAAGTTAACAACGTGAAAGCTATTCCAGTAAAGTAAGCAACATCAGTTGAGAGTTCAAAGGAAAGCATGGTTTCAGAGGAGTAAGCAGCTTCATTAAACTCTATTAATGATCCCTGTAGATAAATTTTGCATTTAAATTAATGCCTTGCTTCTAGGGAAAGCAGTATTACTGAGCTTCAACCAATGATGCAGAGATTTACATGAGCTGAACATCTGTGATTCCCTGACAACTGACCTTCTAAATAAGATTTTTGGTTTTTTTTAGAATTACATTCGTTGTAGATTTAGTAGTTCACTTTTTTTTCCTCTCTCTGCTAAAAGACAGCTGTTTGAATTAAATTCGTTCTTTATCCTTGCAGGGTCTTCATTCTGGTGCCTACTGGATATTGTTCCTATAAAGAATGAAAAAGGAGATGTAGTACTCTTTCTGGCCTCTTTCAAAGATATAACAGACACAAAAGTGAAGATTGCTGCAGAAGACAAAAAGGAAGGTTTGTGTGAATTGCAACAACATTGATAAGAACCAACATTGATAAGTTCTTTGAGAGTTGCACCTGCATGAACTCTCTCTCTCATGTACACTTTTCAATATAGAGACCTCCTAGTTTTCCAAAGAAGAAATTAATATATGACATGGAAGGATAAATAATCTGTTGAAGTTCTTATTTATAATTTTTTTTTATTTACATATTGCTCCACATTCTATAAACATGGAATCCAGGGGACAGAGTACCTTCTCCTCAAAATTAAATTTGTTTTAATGTACCATGATTTAATTTATTTACCTTCTGGATTTTCAGAGGTACATTTTGGAAAAACTAGACCTTTTCAAGCATTCCTTATGTGAATCTGATATCAACATGGCTGAGAGATGAATGAATGCATTTTTTCATGTTTTTCTATAAGCAGAACATACATCTTCCGAAATTATTTTGCCTACTGAGAAGCATGACTATTCTTGTGTCATTTAATTTTCATTACATTATATGAAATTATAAGATTTATTATGTCTTTAGGAATATCCAATAGTATAAGAAATACATTCTCACATTTATTTGCTTCTGAAAGGAAAAAATGCAAGGATTTTCTCATTAATTTGGAAAAAGATTGTGTTATGTTAATGATTCACAGCTGCCATAAAATAGTTTTGACTGTATAGTGTAGTCAAGTTTTGCTAAATTCTGCTAACACAAAGCAAAGACAGTGTGAAGGGATGGAGGTTATGCAGTCAGCGTTGACCTGTGTTATGTATCAAAGGCATCAAACTTATTCCAGGCTTTCATTTGGTAAGGGTATACTGAACTAAGACTTTAGGTTTGCAATTTTTCAGTGTCAAAGGAACTGTCTAGAAAAAGTTTATCTGTAAAGGGTATATGAATTCTGTAAAGTTTCATTACTGTTGAATTTTCCAGTCTGGTACTACTTTGGGATTTATTTAAATTTTTCACCTTGTGATTTGATCTCTGCATATCTCAGAAACAACGCAGATATGGTCTTAGGACTCCTTTTCTTCTTATGGGTTTCTGAAGTAGCAGAACAATTAGGAATAATGAGTATTCAACTTTTTCTGATTTTAAATATTAGCTTTTTAATAAAATAGTTATATTTCAGTTACAGAGAAGTATAATTCAGCATTCTTTTACAACATTTTACTACTTTAAAACAGAAAATGTTATGCTTCCCTGTGCTACTGAACATTCTTAAATCAACATTTATGCTAACAATGTGTGCCTCTTCTGTACATTTGGACAAATAATTTCACCTTTGTCTTACTTTTCAAGCCCTGAATAATGGAGGGGTTTTTTTGCATCCTTCTCTTTTTGCACTGAACATATTTGAGAATTTCTGGGCTGGAAGACTGAAGAAAGGCTTTGAAGTAGTACACAAGTACATTTTGCAGCTTTTCCTTACATCCAGTTTCAACCAGTCATTTCACCTCGAAGTAAAATAGTTAAAATACAAAACACATTTTATCTAGTTTCTCCTTAAGCCTTAGAAAACCTTACACTTACGAAAGTTTTAGGAAAGTCGTTTGTTAAAACATCATATGTGGGGCCATGTAGAAGAGAGATTGTCAGAACATCTGTGCTCTAAAAGCTAATGATTTGCCTTATGAGAGATGCAAATTTTCAGGATACACTCAGTGAGAAATCACGTTTAGTATGCTAGCGATGACTTGAAATAGGTATATCACTGATTACTTGTAAAATGACAGCTATTGTTTATCTGATAAACATTTTATACCTGTATGCTTATTTTAGGATGGATTTATATCTTCAGCTTTTGATGTGGGTTCATGCCAAATTGTAAATCTAAGCAGATTTTAGCTCATGTTTGCTGTTGAACATTTAAAAATTAATACTCCTCCTACTGTGTACTGACAGAGGAACACAGTTATGCAGAGCTACATTACACCAGCAAATGCCCATTCAATTGCTATAAGCTTATGAATATTGACATTTAGCTGTCTTGCGTCATGTACTCTTTAGAGCACAATCCTGAAACTTGCTTGTTCCTTCCCTTTGTACTCATTTTAAAACCATGGCAATCATTTTATGCTATGGTGATACTTGTTTGCATCATGGCAACAGAAAGTAGCACTTAGGGGCTTTGCCAAATACACTGTTTTATATAATATAGTGAGATAAGAAACAGGATTTAACCATTTATTCAAAATATTTACAAATAATTTCAGCATTTTAGTTTTATGGAAATCTACCTAGCTATATAAAAATAAATTTAATGGTATGTTAGCTCTTTGAGTAACATTCAAATTCTTCCTATGCAGAATGATTCACTAGTCCTCCAGTGGTGAACATCATCTCATCATTGTCAGAAAAGAATTCCCAGTACAATCTATGCAACTGATTCACAATCTGAAACTTCAGAATGTTTAACTTCTACAAGTAATTGGTTCTTCTTTACTTAGACCACAACCACTATCAGGCATGAAGGATGCACCTCGTATTAACAGAAAATTGAGTTTCTGTTTTGTTCAAAGGTATTAGAGATCTTTTTTAATGTTCAGTGATTAACATCAGTTGCAAAGTGATTGATACACATTTCCAGATATTATTTTCACAGTTAATATTGCTAAAAAGATAATTTTACTTTTTCAAAGGTTACTGAATTTGTCCTTTCAAAAATCAGATAACTTATAAACTTGGAGTTGAAAGCCAGCTCTTGCTATAAGATAATTGCCATTACGCGCAGTTTTCTATTGCCTTTTTGGCGTATCTCTTGTGGTTAGATTGTGTATGAGAAGGAGAACTTAGATACAAACACGCTCAGTGTGAAACTTTTCTGCCCATGCAAGGCTGTTGTATTAATGTTTTTGTTTCAGTCTGTTCTGCCCAGAACAGACTTTGATAATTTGTATGGAAAATTAATAGTCACATTTCATCTCCCTTTAATTTCTGAACTCCTTAGAACGCTTATCTAACAAAATTACTTCGTGTTCTTTTTCTCCTAAGTTTGCCCTGGACCCCTTTGCATTCCACCAACACTCTATGGTAATACGCTTTCACTGGTTGCGCCTCCAAAAGTCTTCTCCAGACTCATTCTTCCTCATGCCTTTCCTACCTTTGATACCATCTGTTTCTTCTGTAAAATCTTGTTCTCCTTGTACTTTCATGATGACACCTTCCTGAGCTTTATCTCCTGGTTTTATGGCCTCTTTTTTCTTGTGGATTGTCTTTTTACTTGCAGACCTCAGGAGTTGATAACCTCTTTGATTTTCTGCAGACCTTTTCTTATCTATTTTATCTCATCTGTTCACACAACTTCAGTTGCTCCTTTGTGCCAATGTGCCTTGCAAAAGTCCACTTTTTTGCCTGATTTCCCTTTAGCCAGCCCAAATGTCAGATGTTGTGTGTGACCTTTTCTTTTGGATGTCTCATTCTAAATACAAATTTAACAGAATTTTTTTCTGCTCTTCTTCTGTATAAAAGCTTCTAGTGAAATCAACCCTATCAGCCAATGGGAAGAGCAGACTTTGTCCTAAGACTTTCATATAAGAAAAAGGCAAAAACACATACCTGAGGAGTTTGGTAGTCTTAAGAAGTGCTGTGACAGTCAGCAACTCTCGCATGGCTTGTTTGGTTTGGTTTGGGTTGGGTTTTTTTAAGTTAATTTACCATCCTCCTCTCCTACCCGTGCACCCCTTTTAAGTGCAATGTTTTTAGAGGCCTCAAGTTTTCAGTATCAGTAATTCGCTTTCAACAACACGTTTCCCCTACCTGTAAGTTTATTGTAGAAATACACTCTGTTTTCCATCTGCTTAATAATACCTCTAATCATTTACTGTTGTGAAAAGCAACTCAACAGCTTTTCTTCCTAAACCTGGCCTTTTTAATCAAACTGATGGTCTTTTTTTTATAAACACAATGATTCCTTCAGAAACTCTTTCTTAAACAGTTTTATGGGAGATTTATTTTAGCATCCTAATTTATAATGAGCTACATTTTGGTAAACTTGTTAAGAGTTCCATTGTCCTTTTGGGGGAAAACTGATTAAACTTGGAAGTACCAGACTCCAAACCTGGACTCCAATATGGTATGGCTGGGTCAGTCTTTTTTTCATTTCTGCATATGAACTTTCCATAACACACTTGGACACATGCTGGAACTTAGTGAGATTACAAGAATCCAGGTAGGGAAATAAGAAATTAAATTAGTCTGTGACTACTTTTAGATCTCTACTCTGTATGCAAATGTGTAATAGCTTGGGTTATATAGACACAGAGTTCTACTGCTATAATCACTGCTAAAATTGGCCTGTTGAATTTGACTCATTCCAAAAAGTTTCCTTTAGCCTTCATTGTTAATCTATTTGTTGGTTTTTTCTTTAGGAAAATTTTTAGCTCTTCTCAACTTTATTCCAGTATTATTATAAAAATGTGTGCCACAGAATCACATGATAGTTGAGGTGGGAAGGGATCTCCGGAGTTTGTCCACTCCAGTGCCTCCTACTCAAAGCATGGTCAGCTAGAACAGGTTGCCCAGGACCATGTCCAGATATGTACTGATTATCGTGAAGGATGGAGGCTCCACAACTTCTTTAGGCAGCCTGTTCCAGTGTTTGACTGTTCACAAAGTAAAAAAGCTTTTTCTTATATTTAAACAGAATTTCACATATTTAATATTTGTGCCCATTGCCTCTTGCCCTTTTACTGGGCACCACTGAGAAGAATCTGGCTTTGTCTTCTTTACCTCTCCCCATCATGTATTTATACACATTGTTAAGATCCCCCACGAGGCTTCTCTGCTCTAGGCTGAACAGTCCCAGCTCCCTCAGCCTCTCCTTCTATGTCAGATGCTTCAAACACCTAATCAATCTTTGTGGACCTTTACTGGATTTGCTCCAGTATGTCCACGTTTCTCTTGTACTGAGGAGCCCACACCTGGACCCAGCACTGCAGATGTGTCTCACCGGTGTACTAGGGGGGAAGGATCACCTCCCTCAACCTGCTGGCAGTACTCTTCCCAATGCA